TTGTGAAATTAATATGGTGCCGCAGCCTACAGGTGGCTGCCACCACATAAACAACAATGATACAAAACTTGCAGCAGAGGCAACAAATGTCAAGCGGCGCAGATAAGTTGCAAGCAAATGTACTATGCTGTGTATGTTAGTGTGTGCATGTGTAGGGGATTGCAGCAATACTTTTTTCTATGCATACGTACTATGTATGTACTTGCATCCAGAGCTATAAATTGCTTGGCATTTGGCAGTCACACCTATGTACATACCTACTAGGGTGGAGCGAAAAAATTTCGATTTCGAAATTCTAATAGTGCGGATGCTATGTACGATCGCCCCAAGAGCCTTGAAAGTAAATTAATATGTTTTTTAAGATTTTCTAGAAAGAAATCGCTTTAATTTTCAGGATTTTTTTTTTGTTATTGACGGTGTTGTGTATTTTCTTCCACATAAAAAAAAAATATTGTCGATTATGTATGAAAAACTGCGTAGAACTGTTAACGCATGTCGCTGAATTTAGGGAGAATTTCTCGGTGGCAGTCATATTTGTACTTAATTAATTGATTTTTAATTAAGATAAGCCAAAATGGAAATTTGCATGTGTAAATTATCTATTGGCCGCACACTTGTACTTGTTCTATTCTTATAAGTAGGTCAAGCTTTCATTTTAACACAAGTATTATGAAAGATATAGGTGTAGATACATACATATATGTATGTAGAGGTACTCTCCAAAAGATGTACATATAGAACAAAACCAAAATATTTTAGACACACAACTTCCGAGTAATCAACTTGCCACCCTACAAGACATTGCTGAGCACTTTAGGCAAAAATTCTCACACATTTACACTTTTGTTTTTGTAGTACGGCATAAATGAGTAGTTTGACTATTAGTACTGAGGACTTTCTGATGACAACATTGAGGGGAAAGTACTCAAATTTTTCCCATGGCCTGAACGAAAATGAGGACTTTGATAAGCACTTTTGAGATTAGGAGTAATGATAATATGAGTACTCATATGATACTCAGCTGTCTTGCAGGGCAGATATTTACGCACCTACATATGTATGTATGTATCTATAGGTGAAGTGCAGAAATATACTTGCTCTACAATGTGTGTGTAGATTCTACTAAATACTCAAATCTGGATGTTAAAAAGTATACATTTTCTACATCTGCTAAAAGCGTTTCGTTTTGTAGGCCATAATGCAAATGTTGTTATCACTTTCGAATCGCATTGTTCGCACGGCACGTCTACAGGATAAAGCATGCAGCAGGATGCAGGAAATGCTGCCGAACGGCATGACGCACGTGTGCGTGTGCGTGCGCAAAAAAAAGAATTTAAAACTGTTATTGCTTTCGAGGTTGCCTGCCCTCCGCTCTGCTGCGCACGGAGGGCGGTAGTGACTTTGCATTGCATTCCAGTCAAGATTTTTCAACAATGGCGTAGCATATGCGACCGCATGACACTCAGGTGAAATGTGGAGATTTTGTTAAACATTTGAAAGCTGAAACAATGCAAATGAAGTCATAAGCGGATATTATTGTGAACAATAGAAAATAGTAAACGACAAAATAAAATACAAGAAAGTAGGGTAAGGGATCTATCCAAATGGAGGGGGCATAAATGCAAGTATTTAAGGATTTTGAAATCAAACAACATTTTCTTAAAATAATAAGCAACACAGGGCTTAGAACCATCATGGGATAATTAATAAAATCTGCCCAATGATTATGATCTCCATATAACAAGATCTATGTAAACAAAAAAGACTAGCTTGAATTATGGGCGCAGGCTGCACAGGCCAAACAAGTTTATACCGGCTGTGAGGGTTTGAAATCGTAAAAGTTTACCTTCTTGTTTACGAACATTTGCGCGCCTCATAAGGGGTTTAAGCAACAACAATAACAATAAAATTCTATTGCTTACACTTTTACTAGGCGTTTGGCCGAGCTTCTCCTACAAATTGTGGTGTACGTCTTGATGGAGAAATTTACAGTTTTGTAAATGGATTTTGTGAGAAGCCTTTTCAAGGCAGATATACGTTCAGAGGTTTGCCATTGCCTGCCAAGGGAGAAAACTTTTTCTAATTTAGATGTTGACCGGACCAAGCGAAGACATTTAGTAATCTTGTCACCGGCAATTAATTATATCTAGTTTACGTATAAATAACCAAAATTTATACATTTTATAATTTCAAAAAGCCAAAGTTTTATGTCAGCGATTTGGGTGATCGAAAAAATGTATTCAGTTTTTATATAGCCAAAACTGTGTGTCCAGATTCTTAATGACAAAAATCGTATTTCGTTGTTTTGTTTTATCCTAAAGTCCTTCAACTTGTTTGCCTATATTCGCTATCCAATGTCTACAATCGTCTTTAAAATGCAGCATTAATTTTTAGCAACAATTTAATTAATTTCACTTAACGCACAAAAACGCCGCCTAAGTATAAAGTATAAACGGAATCAAATCGCTGAGCGAACTTCGTCTGACAAATTTCGGCGAGTATAGATTTATTTTTAATTATGCCAGCTGCCAGTGAAAAAGTAGCTTTGCTTTTCTGCTTTTCTAGCCGATAATTACCAGGAAGAAGCATCGATCGTTTCGTTTCTCTTGTACTGGGCGAAATGTTGTGGCGAATATCATCCGACGTCACCGTTCCTTCCGACGAAATTCGATTTGGTTCTGTTTATATGTATACTGTTTTTAATCAAGGGAATTAAAAAATTAATAAATATTCGTGTTTTTCAACAAAAATTCTGACCAAAAGCAAAGATATATGCACACAAAGTTTTTAAAAAAGGGGAAATAAACGACACCAGCTTGCTGGCACCATCCAGCTTGAAGCATCCCTGTGGGGAAAATCTCTAGTTCTGAACTGGGGCGCTTCTAGTACATTTAGACCCAGTACTGGTTCGCGATAAATCTCTTTTGCATGCAAGCAACTGGCGAATTTAACATGGCGATGTCCTAGGAAGTGTCAATTGACCCCCGCTGCATCCATTTTTCGATAGTTCCGAACTAGTCCTAAATTCTATAGTTCCGAACCAGTTCCAAAATCGACAGACGAAAGAAAAAAGTATCATGATTTTTCAATCTTTTTGGTTCTTCCATGTGTGCGATTTTAGGTTATTTTGGAAGAAATGTGTTTTCAATTTGAAATTAAATTTGTTTGAATGATTGTAAGAAATGTACGTTTACATACCTTTAGCTGTAGCTGAGTTTGCAGAGGTGCTCGCTGTTATTTCTTAGATTCCAGACGGTCCCAAGATGTTGAAATGTTAACACAAATTTTAGTTTTGTATTACCAAGCTATGAAAAAGCATCTGCGAAGCGCAGAATAGAACAGGCGTATTTGAACGAAAAAGCCGCCGAACACATATCTATGTAAAGTAAACAAGCCCTCCGCTGCATCCCTTTTTCTATAGTTCCGAACCATTTCTAAATTCGTCACTTTAGATATCGATTTCTAGTGAAAAAACGGAAATAAATTAGTTTTTTAAGAGTACCACTTTTCGCCGATTTCGGACTGGCGGGGATTTAGTTCATATCGGACTAGTTCGTTTTTGGCGATAAAGACCTAGTACGGAACTAGAAATTTGATTCACTAGTCCGCGATTTCCCTGCAGGGCTATGACATACTACCATTGGTACAATATTTATTTATTTATAAATGAAGTCCGGAAAAAACGAAATGATTAGAGCCGAAATTTGATCATTTTTTTAAACATTTTATTAAACATTGTTTTTTTTTTTTTTAATTCACAACGGCAATAATCTTACGCAAACACGTCTTTGACTTATATAGTGCAAGGAATTTCCGCCAAAATACTTTTTACTCAAAAAAATGAGCGAATTTCACCATCCTCGGCACCATCATGCTGGTACAATCTTAAAAATGTCAAATCGTTTTTGATTTCGCACTAGCAGCTGGTAAAATCACTCCACAAGAACATACACCGTCAATCGGCTGGCACCAACACTTGATAGCGCCAGCATGGCTGATATCATGTATGGGCCCTTTAAAGAATTGATACAACGTTTGATAAATCTTTTCGAAATGTGAACCTTATAAAAGCTTTGCCTGAGCTATGTATTTAGGTGGAATAAATTCGTCGCCTATTTGATGAATTCCTCTGTCGTGGAAATTTTCATTCATATTCCTGCGTCCTTTTCCTTTCATACATCCTTTCGCCAGCCAGGCGTTTCAAACTACAGTAGCACAAATCAAATTATAGTAATTTTGAAATACAAACACCTGTACATACATTTCTACGTACACACATATCTACATTTGTATATATTTAACACATGCAACTATATCATTTCACATTTAACTATTTCACCTGCCGGTTTAAAAACAGTTATTTCCCTTATTTGATTGCCACTGCCACATAGTATATTCATACATATATATACAAATTTACTACTACAATAAAACGTGAAATAATATATATTAAGAATGCAATAAATTTGCTGCGTCGCTGCTGTGCCTTTTCCTTGTTTGCCATTGCTTTGCCAGGCATTTCAATTCATTTGCTTAGCAACGAAGCGAATAAGCAGCAAACTTATTTTTTATTGGTGTGATTTATGTCTCGCTATTTATAAATAATAATACACTAAAAATACATTACAAAAAAAAAACAAACAAAAAATAGTAAAAAAGCAGCTAAGTGCACACTCACATTGGTGCATATGTACACAAGTACAAACACTAACATGCGACATGCATAGCAGCTGCATATTTACTTACCTTTCATGCAACAACTCATAAATACTGCATTTCGCCATTTATTTGTTGGCACTCGTACGCCCTGCCCAGCTCATACTTCATTCGAATGCATACATTTTATATGTGCTTACATACTTACATATGCATACATATATATATTTTTTCGCTTGTAAATAACCTTTATACTACTAAAGAAAAAACATATTACTCGAGTAGGTGCATACATAAAAAAACTAAATAAATAAGTAGGTACTGTAAATATTATAAATTGCATTTTCGCATTTTCTGCTCATAATTGAAGTATATAATCAAATTCCTAGCATTCTTTACTAACCAACTATGGCTCGTTCAATTGTACTCAATAAAAAAAAATATTTCCACTTTCTTGCTGCGGTCCTGCGGTGGCACCTGCAACTTCGACTTGACTCGAATTTCAACATGAAATGTGCAACATGAAATTGCGACCTCGCTTCGCCACATAACTAAAACGCACACCCACACACATATATATATATATATATATTTATAAATTCGCACTCAAATGTGCGCGCTGTGATTTTGCTGCACACATTTCGTGAAAATCTGTGCACCGGCATGCCGTTGTTATTTGTGTGCCACTTGCGTTTGGTGCGCACGTGTGTGTGTGCGTGTGTGGGCAACTGCAACTGTAATTTAATAATACAACCGATTGCCACATTTACATACGAACTACGTCGACCCACCGACCCATCGACCAACCTGCATCTGCAACTGCGTCGTTGTCCTTGTCGTCGTCGACGTTATCGTCAATTAAATTAATAACATCTAATTGCATTTGAATGACCAACCGAACGACCGACCGGCGCAACAACCTCCGTTTGTCGCCACACTCCATTAACACCTGTGAATGGCATACGTCGCGTCGCGTCGCTTCATGTCGCTTCATGTCGCTTCATGTCGCTTCATGTCGCTTCACGTCGCCAGTTTGCAAAAGCAAGTTAGCGTGATGAGCATGAATTTATCAGCCAAACTGGATGAGCTTCAAAGAGGCGATCGACACTTGGAGACGACAGTCGCCTTGTGTGAAATACGTACTCAGCTGCAGGAGCTGACCAAATCCGTGGAGAGTTGTCAAAGTGAGGTGTCAGAGGTGAGTGAGCTAGAAATTTGAAATATATTTATGCATATATGCGTCTTTTATCGTCATACATAAAGTAACAATTAAATTTAACGTATTTATACACACACACTTATGTACATATGTAGTATGCCTAGATTTATTGACAGGTAGCGTTATAAAATTATATCGTCAGCCATTCAATCTGTTTTTAAGTATGCAATTGTGTGTTGGCTGCATATGCTTCTGCGCTTCATAGAATTTTTATTAGACAAAAGCCTTAAAATCCACATTCAAATCAATGTGCACCAGCGTAGTTATGTACGTCAATGAATCTGTGACGTATTTAATAAATTGAATTGCAAACTTGTTTAGGAACTACATACATATCGACGCCATGCTAAGTCTGACTAAGTCTAAGATGTCGATATAGAGTTATTAAGATTCGCCTAGGTTTCGGGAAGACTGAATAAGGATCCTTAATTAATTAGTTAGTTCATAAACTTGGTAGAACAGAACAAAACCTGCGACCTAGAGGATATTTTGTATGCTTTTTTGAAATACCCTAACCTTAACAGACTAGACAAAAGAGAACCCATAACCGACCAAAAAATTCGTCTACAGACCAACATCATATGTATGTATATATATATATATTTATATAACGTAACTGAGTTATTTGCATATCGTACACGATCTTCAAAGGTGACATAACTCAAAAAAAATCTTTTAGCACAGAAGTAGGACCAGAAACACTTTTTAGGCCCTTCAAGCTGATGGTGTTGTTTAGAGTTCTTTTCCTAAGTGAATATAAAGGAATTTAAAATCAATAGTTAAGAATGCATAAAGAAGATCGTGGTTCAGTAAAATAGACAATGTAGTAGATTATATATGACAGCCTTTTTTAATATAAAATAGTTGATACAAAACTTTTAATAACTCAAAGCGTAATTGTAAGTATACACATTTATGTATAAATAAATTTTCATTACAATTTTCATCACGTAACTCATGTAGGAATTGTTCATGATCCTAAAAAAAATACATTTACATATATTTAACTCAACTTAATTCAAACCCCAAGTGTTCCGAAGAAAACTCACAGTACATATCTATTTATCTGTAAAAACTACCAGCATTTCACTTTTTAATTTTTTTTATTCAAAAGAAACTAATAACCAACCTACTATATTTTAGGTAAAACGGGACATGGTTGCCATCAAACACGAATTGGACACCGTGCAACAGGTTAAAGAGGAAATCGAAGAGCTGCGCGAATACGTCGACAGACTGGAGGAGCACACACACAGACGGAAGCTAAGACTTTTAGAACAAGTTTGTAGCTTAAATTATTTGCCATGTTGTGTAATTAATACTTGAATTTCATTTATATTCATGTACAACAAAGTGAAAAATCTCATTATGCGTGCGAATATACAAAATTCAAAAATTTACACAACAACAACAAATGCAATTCGATCGCCAAATCAGCTCACAATTACACTCGCTTACATTTATTTGTACAACGAAAGTTTAGCGCATAATGGCATTTACGAATACAGACCGCTTCTTCATAATCCTTGTGTTTGTTATTAAATATTATTGTATGCAGTTAGTTTGTTATTTATTGCATAAGTTTATTTATTTTACTGTGTTTTAGCCGTAATTTTATTTCAACCTAACTAAATTCCAAAATGAAATGTAAAAGCAAAAATAAAGTTTTCTTATTTTAGTAAATAATTTGATTTGCAGTTTTATTTTTTATACATATGAAGTATTATTTTGTTGCTTCAAATATTTTATGATTTTATTTATTTTTTTTTTTACAAAATAGCGAAGTGTTCTCCGATTTACTACAGCGAAATTACCGAACAATAGCGAAATTCCTGAAATACATAGAAGACGAAAAGCTGCAAAAAATAGTTAAAATTATCGCAAAGCCCCGAAAAATTACGAAAACTCCCGAGTAAAGCCTCTTGAATTGTTTAATTGTTTAACAATGTCTAAAAAATAAAGAAAATAACCGACTGTTTTTGGTTTAAATTTCTTTGGAAACAGAATTTCGTTCGTTTTCATTTCTGGAAAATAATAATTAATTTTCCATATCCATCTACATATTTAGATCGGTATAAGAAAAAAAATTTTCAAACCAGTCGCAGAAGAAAGTATTAAAAATTTATTACAGAAACTAAAATCGAAAAACGCTGATAACGTTACAGCTTCCCCAAATTCCGAAACAACCAAAGGAATGAGAATGAAGAATTATTTTTAAAAAGTTTTTAGAAAAATCTGACCCATCTGGTTTGGCTTGTAAGCGGTGTTTAAACAACGATCTCGCCATTATGCTAAATTCTTCAAGTCAAGATGAAAATCGGGAGGATGCATCCGACATTTTCAGCCCCGATGCAATTCTCATTACTTTTTATTAAATACAATTTTCAATTTTTAACTTTTCCATTTTTTTATTAACCTAAAAAACCTAATTTACTTACCTAATTGTTTCTTAAAAATACTTGACTTCTGCATTCGCATTCGCGTCCGCGGATGTCTAAAATTCCATATTCTCAACATCCCTAAAGCAAACCAAAGCCTCTCGGTATAATTAAGCATATATGTAGATCGAGAGACATCCTGTTTATAATATGCAGATTAATCAGCTTTTCTACGATTTAAACAGAAGCGAAGAGAGACTGATTGTCTTAAAAGCATTGGAAAATATGTCAGAGCTTCTGCCGGCCTTTGGTATAAACGACATCCTGACCGCGCTCTAAGCCCTGTGACGATTCAGCCAGAGAAGACTGGAGAGGGCAGCGGACGATGGATTTTAATAATGACTCCAAGCCTTATTACAAAATGTTTTCTACAGTTTTGAATTTGTTTATTTAATCTTTTATTCCAAAAGAAAACCCGTTAATCTCAAACGCAATCGGTTCAACCCACTCGGCAAATATATATTTTAAATATAATTTTACTTAACTTCATTTCCTAATTAAGTCCTTTAATTTTTAGTTATGCACTTAAATTCTTTTTTTATATTCCTCTGCGCACAATTCCATCAATTAACTTGAAAAAAGCCAAATTTACGTTGCCAATTTGTGTGTTCTTCGCTTGTTCTCCCCCCACAGGGTCTTACCTTCTTCCTAACATACTCGATATTCTCGGCGGTGCTGGGCATGCTACAGTTCGGTTACAATACCGGTGTGATAAATGCGCCCGAGAAGAATATCGAGAATTTCATGAAGGACGTGTACAAGGATCGCTATGGCGAGGATATCAGTGAGGAGTTCATACAGCAGCTGTACTCGGTGGCGGTGTCGATATTCGCCATTGGCGGCATGTTGGGTGGTTTCAGTGGCGCTTGGGTGGCCAATCGCTTCGGCAGGTGAGTTCGATTAACGCGGGCTACAAAATGCTACAAAATGCTAAACGAATAACAACTTCCTTTTCCCTTTCTCAATCGCAATTACAGAAAAGGCGGACTATTATTAAATAATGTGCTTGGCATATCGGGTGCTTGTCTAATGGGTTTTACCAAAGTTAGTCATTCCTATGAAATGTTATTCCTCGGCCGATTTATTATTGGTGTTAATTGCGGTGAGTGGAGCAAAACAAAATTCAAATCTTAAAATCTACTTACCTCCATCTGTGTGTGTTTTTGTGTGTGTTGCAGGTCTTAATACATCATTGGTGCCAATGTACATCTCTGAAATAGCGCCACTGAACTTACGCGGTGGATTAGGCACCGTAAATCAATTGGCTGTGACAATAGGTTTACTACTATCCCAAGTCCTGGGAATCGAACAAATTTTAGGAACTAATGATGGCTGGCCCATATTACTTGGCCTAGCCATATGTCCAGCAATATTGCAATTAATATTACTGCCGATATGCCCGGAATCGCCCAGATATCTGCTCATCACGAAACAATGGGAGGAGGAAGCCCGAAGAGGTAAACAATGCTCGCACAAATAAATGCCTTAAATTCCTTCTAAATAAAAAAAAACTTTTCCGCTACAGCGCTGCGACGACTACGTGCCTCGAGTACGGTGGATGAGGACATTGAAGAGATGCGCGCCGAAGAACGCGCCCAACAGTCGGAAAGCCACATCTCCACCATGGAGCTAATCTGCTCGCCCACACTGCGGCCGCCATTGATAATCGGCATTGTGATGCAGCTGAGCCAGCAGTTCAGCGGTATCAATGCGGTGCTATACTACTCAACATCGCTGTTCATGAGCTCTGGCCTGACGGAGGAGAGCGCCAAATTCTCAACGATAGGCATTGGAGCCATAATGGTTTGGAAATTGAAAGCACTCGCAAGAGGACTAAAGAGCTAAATCCACTTTTTTTTGTTTGTTTTTTTGTTTGTTCGTTTGACAAATTTCCACAGTTGCTGATGACACTCGTCTCAATACCGTTAATGGATCGCACCGGTCGTCGAACGCTCCATCTATACGGTTTAGGTGGCATGTTCATATTCTCGATATTCATAACGATTTCATTTTTAATTAAGGCAAGTACAAACACCAAACACCAACAGCCAAGGTGCACAGCAAAGCATCCTTGGCTGCCAATTATCAAAGGGCAAGTATTGAAAGTGAAAGTTTTTTATNGTTTGTTTGTTCGTTTAACAAATTTCCACAGTTGCTGATGACACTCGTCTCAATACCGTTAATGGATCGCACCGGTCGTCGAACCCTCCATCTATACGGTTTAGGTGGCATGTTCATATTCTCGATATTCATAACGATTTCATTTTTAATTAAGGCAAGTACAAACACCAAACACCGACAGCCAAGGTGCACAGCAAAGCATGCTTGGCTGCCAATTATCAAAGGGCAAGTATTGAAAGTGAAAGTTTTTTATGGTCTACTTATTATGTGATATTTGAATTTGTGGTTTGTATCGTATTTAGTTATTTAAAATTCCAACAAAATACAATGCTCTTTTTGATACTTTAAATTTTATGGCCGTGAATTTAAGGCTGGTGAATTAACTCACATTTGGCTGGTCAATTGCAATTTGTTCACCAAAAATCAATAGTTAATTGTCCAATGTGAGTTATGCAGGACTCCACCATATAAACGCACAGTGGTTCAAAACTGTAATTTACTGTTCATAATGCACTGGAGTTGATTATAGTTTTTTTTTCGTTAACATTTCGAGCATATCTGCAAGCTAAATAAGAAATAAGAGCGTTCCCTTTGTCTCGTGTAGTTTATATTCTTACTATATATATGTATTATTAAAAATCGAGGCGAACTCTTAGCCACTTGCAACTTGCACTTCGTTTATTAAAATTTAAAGATCTACAAAACGGCAAACCCAAAATTTGCCTAGAGGCTAAAAATATTGCGTTTGGTAGACATTTTTTTTATAAGGTTTTAGTTTTTTTCGTGAAATCTTTTTCATTTTGGGGGAACCCAAAACATTTTTTCAACTAGTTTTTACTATGTAACATTCATCAACTAGAACACGAGAATCAAATTTCTTCAAAATAGCTACTTTTTCTGCAATTCGCTCTTAAAAAATTTAACATATGTAATAAAAAAAAAAAAAAAAAAAATCGGGCTCAAATGGTCTCTTGCAAATATATAACTAAATGCCAATTTTGAACCACTGTGAAACGGCGCTTAGACTTGTTTTTTTTTTAATTTTTGTATGTCTTTAAACAATGAAATAGTCAATTTCGGTATGAAATAAAAAAATCATAAATTAGCTATGATTTATTGCATGACTCGAAGGAATGTTCAGTACAAATTTATATAAAAAATACAATCCATGATATATTTTATACTACTTATAAAGCGTAATTATAAAAGCATACAATTTAATATTTTTGTAGTAGGCAGTTAAGATTTGATTCATGCGTTCGAACTTAAATCTTGAATTGAAAAACAAGCATGAAAGGCATAAAAGTACTCGATTGAATCATCAAAAAAAAAACATAAAATAGAATCATTCAAAAGCATGTGCACGCTTTGCGAATTTTAAATTATAATATGAAAAAAAAACAATAGCTTTTATAAATACTTTAAATATATTTTTGATACTTTTAGTAGTCTATCTCGTTTAAAGGGTGATCTAAACACAAGTTACTTAAGCAATTTACCATAAACTTAGTTTGGTGGAGTGACGCAGTTAAATAGGCTGTGGCAAGACAAAAACTCCAGACATTTGGACCCCCAAAATGCTTTTTAGCCCAGGGAATATTCTCTTCTGAAATCAGCTACTTGTTGGTGGGGGTCGCGATTTTCCGTCATCCTTTGTCAAATCCAATTTCACAAAACATGCCAAAAGAGCCTTTATTGAAGTAAATTTTTATTTATCTGGCAAAGGATGAACACTCAAAACTAATGGGTTTCCGGGATGGCTCATCGTCCTGCAGACAAATGCCGCATTCTACCAGCTTCACACAGACGAATATGATCCACGTGAGAACGCATATATATATATCACCGGTTGGTACTTCATAATCGTTGGATAACCAAATAATTTGATCTCTGTAAGACCTCTTACCGCTACTGTCCATCGTTACTACGTTGGCCAACTCAGGTATTAAAGGTATCGAAGAAGATATAGAACGGTGTTTTCGCTACCCCAAATGTTATTTTATCTATCTGATGGTTCCTCTTCAGGAAAGTGCAAGCACTTGCATTTCTCTTGAAGCTGCTTCCATTTGAACAAAATCTTAAAGAGGAATCTAGAGTTGAAAAAAGCTTTTTAGCCACAAAAATACCAAAACTCCCTTGCGCGCCGACATAACTGCAGGTGCTTTACTAAGCTTTTTACCAAGATAGAAGATCCAGCTAAGCTTCTTATGCGGGTTGTTCCCATTTTTATTTCTGCCTATGTATCGGTGACGCTCACTTATGCGTGCCCTAGCTGTAGTGGCGCTGATCTCTAATTTATATGGTGTGAGCTTTTGAGATACTATGGCTTAATGAAAATCCGATTATAGGAAATTCTTCTGCCAGTGAAATGTCGAAAACGGAGACGTTTCGTAAGCCAATACACACCTTTGTATGGGTATGCGTGTTTGAAGAATCGCGACTTTTCTCAAGATTCCTCAGCGGCAAAACCGCCACCGAGATAATAAATTTCGATCAGAAAATGCAATATTCAAGAAGACAATTTACGGAACTGTGTTTGGACCACCCTGAAAATTTTAGTTTTAAAATTTTCTGTACTGCCTTGTAAAAAGCACAACTTAAACGCCCTAAGCTGTAAATTTTTATCCTTTTTTTCTCACGGTAGCTTTCCTAGTTAAATTAATTTGTGTTTGCATGCTTCAGTGTTTGTTAGTTTTTTTTTTTACACTATATTAAGTTGTTTAGGTTAAGTATTTGAATAAATGAGTTTATTGTACGAGAATGATGAGCATGCGGGCTCCTCAAATAATACGAACAAAGCTGTAAATTTGTTGTTGTTCACTTTCCAATCGAAGATCTTGCCAAACTTAAAATTTTGAACTAATAGAATTTTTCCAAAGAAAATTAAATAATGCATTTTCTCTGTCAAATAGTGAGTTATAAAAATTGCAACAGAAAGCAAATTAACAATTTGCGTTATTTGCTTATACTTTTCAAATGATTCATAAAATTGACAATTAATATGAAAACAGTAATTTGCTCAAAGAAGAAGATAATTCTATTGTTAATTGGACGAAATTCACTGAAATAACTCATTTATTCAAAAGTCTGTCCCCTGCAAAATGAAAAAATTCTCGACTTGGCAGGCTTTTTACCCTCTGCGAACAAGCACACTCACAAAAAAAAAATTATTTCGTTTTTTAATTTTCACTTTTTTTTTTTAATTTGGCTTTTCAAATGCTTTGTTTCATTTCACGGCTAAAACAGTGAAGCTGAATCTAAAATGTGTTGTTCATTCCGTTAAACGGAAACCAACAAATTTAATTTAGCTTCCAATTATCTAGCTACGTATTGGTTACAGAAGAATCGAAAATTTCGCACCGAAACTTCAAGCGATTCGGCAAGCAGTGTAATTCGAAAACAAAAGACTTAAGACACGAACACTCACAAAGTTCAAATTGAAATTTATAGCACCAATTTTTAAAAAGCAAACAAACTTGTACACTTAAACAAAAATATCGAGCAGCTAAACCCACAATCGCCTTAAACGCAGCCAACACAATAAGCTACACAGTAAGAGCGTTTTGTATATACACTAAACACATAGTGTATAGTATGTATGTATGTATAGTCAAAAGTGCAATGGAGCGATATTTTGTAAATGTCCAAATTTCACAAAGCAAAACAGGAAACTTTTCACTGAAGCTGAAGCAGCGCGAACACAGGTTATTGTTATAAATACTTACATATTTGAAAAATAAAATAATTATACGTTTTGTTAAAAGTCACCACAGCAGAAGCTTTTCGAGCAGCAAGCGACACTACTACATTAAAATCATATTTACTTAGTCATAAAGAGTACTTACTTTATTTTGAAAAAAATAGCCAATTAATAAAAAATATATAAACTTACTAAATACTTAAATAAATTTGTAAAAACTTAAATAATGAAAATGTGAAAAAACCAAAACAATTAAAAGCTTTTAAGTTTTTTTTTTCATGAAAGCTGAATGCCCAGCGGTAGCACTAGGCCCTCTCTCGTCCGACGTGTAAAAAGTATTTTGTAAAAAAGTAAACTCTCCTATGAAAATACGTAATTTTTACTTAACTTTTTATAGGAAAAAATTTAAATTCTATGACAGCCACAAATCTGTTATTACCAAGTAACACAAAACAATTATGCCATGAATTTGCTGTAAGTCAGTAGAAAAAAAAAAACTTTAATTTCGTGTATAAGTTAAGTTAATTTAATTTACTTACATTAATTATTATTATAATTTTATTTTCTCCTTGATTTGTTTTGTTGGGTACATTACTGAATTCAAAAAAAAAATCTCGAAATAACATTCAAAAAACGAAAAAAGAAAAAAAAAACAATCAAAGAAAAAGCCTACAAATCATCGAGAATCGGTAGCTACACGTTTTGTATAGGAGTTTTTTGGTTATGTACAGGAAATGATCGATTGGATGTCGTATCTGTCGGTGGTGTCGACGCTCGGCTTTGTCGTATTCTTCTCGGTCGGACCCGGCTCCATCCCATGGATGATCACAGCGGAATTGTTCTCGCAAGGACCACGACCCAGCGCGATGGCAATCGCTGTACTGGTCAATTGGATGGCGAACTTCGTAGTCGGCATTGGTTTCCCCAGTATGAAGGTAACGTTACTTTTTTTCTGATTTTTCCAAATTTCTAGCGAATTTTATAACACTCTAACATCATTTTTTTTCTACGCCAACAGGCTGAATTGGAGAATTATACATTTTTGCCGTTTAGCGTTTGCTTAGCTATATTTTGGATATTCACCTATAAGAAGGTTCCTGAGACTAAGAATAAGACATTCGAAGAGATTTGCGCGCTATTCCGACACGGAAATGGAAGGTAAACACCAGTTCAGAATATTTACATATATATGTGTTTTTTTTTGCATATTGCATATAAATATTTAATACTTAAATAACTGACATATATGTATGTACATAATTGATTGAAGAAAGTTGCGTAATACGTACACTAACGCTCATCATCTCAGTCAAAAGGATTTAAATACAAAATGCTAACTTCATATCACACTTACTTATTTCTTGACAGTGCTTAAGAAAAATATTCAAGTGAAGCTTGAAATGTAAGAGGTTCTCATTTCATTAAGTTAATAAATTAAAAAATATTGAAAAGTACTTACATTCAGTACTGCAGATCGGTTGATTTAGAATCAGTGACCAGAGAAATATGAAAATCTCTATCTATGTGAATAATTTGTGTGCGCAAAATAAGAAGAAGGAAACAAAAGGGCATTTTTCTTTACTCGTGCTGACTTCTTCTTCTTCTTCCAATTTGGCGCTGTAACCGCCTAAGCGATTTTGGCCGAGTTCAACAAAGCACGCCAGTCGTTTCTCGTCCGCTGACTATCCGTATTTGATTTCGAAGAGAGCCTGGTATAAATATCTCAGCTGGAAGTTGAGTTCATAGAATAGAAAAAATCATAAAATACACACAAAAACCAGGATTCTGCAAAGCTCATTTTGTTGTACTGACAATGCTTTCTCTAACGAAATTTGCCATGGATTAAGTTAGGTCACAGAGGTTAGCACTTTCCGTAAGAAATGTAGAGACGCATATTCAGATCAGGAGCCCCATGTAATACCTCTGCCGTGACCCCACGATTATAGCATCTACTTCCCAATGTAATGGAACCACTTTGCTTTCCTTGCTAATCATAAAGGGTATTCAGACTATCTTCGTTAATGTATTAATTCGTTATCTGATAACTCGGTAACACTTTCACCTTCGGACGCCCCTTATTCTTTTTCTGTATACAATTCCTTTCGAATAAGCTGACATGTAGTTCTTTTATTTATAAACAATTATTGATTCCACGATAGAAAGACTTGTTGAGCTTGTGATAAAATGTATGCACTTTTCGCGCGAGAAAATTCCAGCAAATAAGTGACAGAAAGGAATCAGCTGACATTTTAACGTGTGTATTACCACATTATCATACTTGCCACCTCGTTATATTCGGTAATTTACAAAAATAAAACAATGTTGGGGGGTTACCGAATACCGAATTAAGACCTTAACGAGTATAGTCTGAATACCCTTATGGAAAAATGCAGATGCTTTAAGATTCTAAGTCCGCTATGCCTTCGAAAACCCAGTAAAAACCCAATGCAGCCAATGCAGAATGCAAGGAGAACTACTCAGAAATTAACTCTATGGCAAATTTACCTGGTTACCTGGCAAGTGCTTCCCTGGCCCATCTTTGGTTGGGTTGTGCAATGAAAACTCGATGAATTGGGGGTTAGGAAATAATCTTGCTAGCTCGTCCGCGCTGCAATTCCGCAGAATGTGCTTGTAAGAGTAGATGTTGAGCATAATTTTGGAGGAGAGTTCTAAAGTCAGAGAGCAGATTACTATGTGTATACATACATATATATGTGCATACCTATTGCTTAATACCTAAAAAGGTTTAACAGAGTTTCAAGACCTTTGGTGGAGGTACAGTGAAAATCACGGCTACTGTCCTCCATACTATTTCTATTTTTCTCTTAGGGCCAGTTTCTCAGTGCACGGCTGTAGTTTAAACTCAGTCTAAACGCCCGATCTGGCTGGTTTAAACTAAGATCAGCCAATCAAATTTCAGCTAGCTATTCAACTTAAACTCAGTTTACTTAACCTGAGTTTAAACTGGCACTTAAAAACTGGCCCGTAGTGGCGGGTTTCTACACGCGTCGGCCACCATATTATAAAAAAAAAGAATGAGCCTTTTCCTAAAGCCGATTTGCAAGTATCAAAGGCATATACTATGCAACTTTAATTCAAAAATGTTGGCACCATATACAAGTATATCCCTATTTATCGGACGAGCATCAAAAGAAAATTGTATGTAGACCTCGGGAAATGTTAGGTACTAAAATATATTCTTTTAGCGCGCTGTTTATTCACTTATTCCTGATTTTTTTAATGAAACCAAATGAGCAATTTAAGTGTCTTCATGTATGCTACCTTAACTGCTATTGTTAATGGTTTTTCTTGATTTCTCTCACTTAGTTACCACTTTCCCAACAATCCCAAATTCGAAAATACCTCCAAAATTGTGTTCTCATTTTTCTGACCATTTTATCTAACTAAAAGAAATATGGGAAGTAGTTCATTCCACTTTGCTGCCATTTGAAGAGGATCAATCAGACCATAGCACACCATAGCGGATCTGTGCATTTATTTGTCAAATCAGAATTAACGCTGGTCCATGACTCAAAGATTTCCAAACTATACCATTTTGCGAACACAAATTATAACACCACCCCCTCACAATACATCGAATACGCGAAAGATTTCGTTTCGTTTGGCCCAACATTTGCACGGTTCTTTAAATTATTTTTATTTACTACCTTAAATTTATTTTATGTTTTGTTTTTAGTTAAATTTAAACTTACTTTCCAATTCAAATTCGTTTCGTATTGTATTGAGCTTGCCATGTTGTTATTAAATAAAAATCATCAGACAGCTATTAATTTTTTTCCTCTAAATTTTATTTAAAAAAAAAATAATAATTAAACGAAATAAACAAAAAATATTTCCGTTCACAAAAAAAAAATCAAATACCGTACGTTACACACAGAAGGACATTCCGAGATAGTAGACTGTATGGGTAAGTTGCATGATAAACAACAACAACAACAAGATATTAAAATACAAAACTTCTGTTTGCGAGTTCATACATTTCTATAAACCGAACATAAAGCTTCTAAAGTTTAATGAAAGAGCGCTTTGAAAACAATATAAGCAAAAATACGGAGCATACAAAAGATAATTGTTTATTTACTTTAAACTTCTTGACCTCCCAAACTTGGCTATGCCGTTACAGTAGTAATTACGCCACTGTTGAATGTAGTTTGTGTTTTTTTTTTTAAATATTCCCCCAAAATCGAAAAAGCTTTAGTGAGTTGAGTGATTACAAAAAAAAAAACGAAAATGGTTTCTTTCTGTTCTCGATATTAAATCTATAATTATTTCTCCTTATAACTTTTTTGAACGATTTTGAATGCCTTGAATGCCTGCTTTCGTGTCACTATTCTCAACCCTATAAGCCTATCAAACTAAAAGTTAATACTAAATTCATTTGTTAATATAATACACACACACATCTACTACATATCTCGTTGTTCGAAATTCTCAAATCATTCGAATTCGAATACTCATTGAAAGCAAATTGATAAGCAGTACTCGTAATTGGCAAAATTTCGCTCATTCAAATGTTGTTTCTTCATGCGTCTCATTTCCCATATTCCTCCGTAATTTTGTATTTTTAGAGACATGCAATACATGTACATTTACATAAATACAGTAGAATTTCCTAAACAAGCACACAGACATACTCGTACCTATATTAAACTTATAGTTGATTCTTTTTCTATAATTTTTTATTTTTTATTTTTTTAATTTAATTGTACGTTTGTACACTTATTTTTTTATTTCTGAGTTCGTAAATTATTTTTTATTACATTCACACACTTTTCCTTAGCGATTATGGTTCTACATACAGACAAAGCGATTCCACAGCCGACATTGAAATACAGCATCGCACCGAGGCGGGAGATGAGCGTCCGAAAGAACAGTGAAGCTTGTAAATGCCGTCCGCCAAATTATTGCTTCACTCTAATTTCGTTTACTTATTTGCTCAAAAACGTTAATTGTAATAAAAAAATTTGTATTTTAATTTAATATTTTGTTTTTGTACACTATTTAATTTACTGTGCTTATTCTAGTTTGTACTTATATATGTATTATTTAATGTTTTCGATATAACTTGTTTTTCATTTGCATTAAGTCTCGATATTATTCACCAGTAAAAGTATCTATTTTAAGAGCAAACAAATTTGTTTTTTTATTTCCAATTGAAACTCGAGAAGGTATGGAACAGAAAATATAAAATAAAATAAGATATATAAATTAAATAAAAATATAAAAAATAAAATAAAAAACTACATGAAATAAAATAAAATGAAAAAAAAAACAAAATAAAATAAATAAAATACTATAAAATATGATAAAATAAAAGACGAAAGACAATTTAAAAAAATAAATAATTGAATAAAACTTAATAAAAGCAGATAATACAAAATAAAATAAACCGAAATAAATTTATTAAATAAAAACATGAAATAAAATAGAGCAAATTTAAATTAAAAAATATATCACATAATGTAAATGAAATTATATAATAAAAAAATTTAAAACATTAACACTATTGAATAAATAATATGGATTAAAGAATACCAAATTAAATTAAATTAAACAAGGTGTGATATAATATAATAAAAAAACAAAATTAAATAAAAAAACGAATAAAATAATATAAAATTAATTGCAGTAAAATAAAAAACTAAAAAATAAAATAATATATAATAAAACAAAATAAATTAAATAACATAAAATATAATACAATTAAAAATGAAATATCACAAATTAATTAAATTAAATAAAAAAATTAAAAAACAATAAATTTAAATAAAACTTATTAAAATTTAAAAAACCAGATGATACACAATAAAATAAAACGAGATGTCTAAATTAATTAAATAAAAACATCAAATAAAAGACCAAATGAAATAAAATAGGAAAAGTTCAAATAATATAAACGAAAATACATAAAATAAAAAATAATATACTTTAATAAATAAAATAAAAAAAATACGAAACTAACATAAACGAAACATATATAATATAATAAAAAAAATAAATTAAATCAAACAAACCCTAATAAAATAAAACAAAATTCAATGAAGTTAAATAAAAAATTATAAATAATACAATATAAATAATACAAAATGAAACTAAAAAACTAATCAAAATAATAGCGAAATAAATAAAAAAAAGAATACCATAAAAAAATAAAGAATGAAATTAATAAATATAATCAAATAAATTATAGTAAACTAGAGCAAAACGAAAGTACTTGTGATGTAATATTTACATGTTTTAATCATATATTGTTTTATAATATTTACATATTTTATTTGTTTAAAAAATCTATAAAGTATAGTATAACTTGTTTCACTAAATAAGTGAACAAGTATTTTTTAATTTTTAATTTTTATTTTTTTACATATTCTTCCTATTGCAAATATATCCTCTATCGGTGAAAGAAAAAGAAAACGCTCGTCTTTGTCTTGGCTATCCCATAAAGTAAGCCGTATAGCGATTTTAAAAGAAAATGAAAAGAGACCTCTTAAAAGCAACTGGCAGATAATCAATAAACATAAATACAGCCGACACAAAATTGACTTCCTATACTAACACTTTCCAATTACACTTAGTGAAAATCATGCTACTGCAAAATACAAAAACAAAGAGCTACACGAAAAACCTTTAAAATAAACCAACACAACTCAACAGTCAAATAACAATAGACAGAACCGAACACATACATAACTTGAGACAAATCAAAACCAAAAGCAAAGCAATTACCATTAAACAATTTTACAAAATTTAAATTCAA